TTAGCAAATTGCCCATGGTCAAGCACCAGATAAACCCCTTGTTCACGAAACTTAAGCCCATGTTGGTGCAAAAGTGCCAGCTCATTTTGGGTGCCGACTATAAGGTGACGGGCGATATAATGGCGTTCAGCGCCTACTGTTTCCCGATGGCAGACGCCTCTCAACTCGATTTGGTCGCAATGTATGCCGAACTCGGATTCATATTAGACGACCGTTTGGAGAAAGATCCTTGCTCATTCACGTATTGGGTGGACAGGATTGGGGAGACATTTCGTGTACGACGAATCGGCCGCCTGTGGCCTGGATAAGTTATTTAATTATGTGTTTAGCGGTAACTATACTACCCGTAGACTTAATTGTGTCGCTTTGTCCGTTAAAACGATGTTTAGTGTCATAAGGGCTCATTCAATAAGTATGTATTAGGCTACCCAAATACTGCCATAATTCTGGTATTTTACATGATAACCAAAACTTGTACAAAGTAAAGAGTATTTTATTTCAAACCAAGGATTTAATCTTAAAAATTAAGTGCTCCCGGATGTTACTCGAAAGAAAATGGCAGCCTATTATCTTACATGACCTCATGCTAGACCCCATAAACATCGAATAGTTCGGGAGTTTTTACAAGAAATCCCCTAAATCAACTTGGGGCTGACCCCCTAAATCAACTGGGGGCTAACCCCCTAAATCTATTCCCTATCAATAAGTATGCCATAATGAAATATATTAATAGCATTGTTATGTACAGAAAATAATATTATATTTCTACATGAATCTTATACTTAAATATTTTTGTGAAGTTTATAATAATTATTTCTAAAATAATATACAAAAACATATTCAATAACTTCTCATAATCTATAATCAATATTTAAAATGTATATTTATAGAAACACTATATTATTTGACATAATTTGATATTATCTGATAGTAATTATCATTGAATAAACCTAATATGTGAATAATAACTCTGAAATTATTAAAAAAAATTAATTTTCATACAATATTTGAACAATATTGATTTAATATTTGAAAATTATAGTGAAAAATATGCCTAAAAATACAGTTCTTTTATTACGACAACATTCTATAGTCTAGAGTCTAGATCTTCACATACAGTATGTGAGGGATCGCACAGAACTGACACTTAATTAAGACAAACAATAAGTAAATTCCTATAAAAACACTACTCGTACATAGAGTTTACGACATATATATTGGAAAATGATCTTATTTTATGATTTACGAGTTTACTAAAAATGGCACTTTAAGTCATTTATGTAGAATGACATTCATATGATATTATTTTCTAAAATAATCGCACGCAATTTATCAATTAAATTAAAAATTCCACAAAATTATATATTGACATACTTCACCTAATACCATTATAACTGTAAACAGTATTGATTTGATCGATATAAGCTAAAATGATGTACAGTATTTTGAAATGTATAGGTCGATAATTGCATTATAATAAAATTGACAGTTGGTTTAATTCACATTTATAAGATCATTAAATATATCATATTTAGGTTTATATGGTTTAGATGACATGTTTTTAAATATATATATTTTATAAATGATTTTTATATTACAAACTCAGTAACGATCTAACTTTTCAGTTGTAATTTGAGTATTTGTTAAATTACATTGATTATAAATAAACTGGACCAAATTATATAATGCCTAAAATATACAGCAATAATTTAAATAAAACTTTCACTGATTGTATCGATAGAGTCATAAAACTAGGTCGTGTGTATTATGTAGTACTCTATAGGGATACTGAGGAATATGTGTCGGGTAAGTTATATGAAATTTCAACTGTATTACTATTATTTCATGATAATGTATACATAATTAGGAAAGTTTAGTAAACACCGACTGGTGATAATCATTTTTACCAGAATAATGTGCTTGCTTAATTGTATACGATTTGCGTTATGTGTAATCGTCAGTAAGGTATTATATGAATGCATACATTATATTAGTACATTTATTTAAGTAATCATGTTATTAATATTTCTAAACATAAAACCAATAATTTATAGCCATGGATGTATAGCCTGATGAGTGACTGGACCCTGGAGTTGGCTAACCCGATGCTGTGCGACTCTATACTCAGTTTATTTTCATTGGGCATATTGTGTATCGGATGTGTCTGTTTATACCAGGAGCTGACGCATACATTCTATATCTCTTCGACTACATATTTAATTAAATATACATTCAATTTATATCCAATTAATGAGAGAAATATGTTTCGATGGACAAGCAAGCTCAGATTTTTCGTAAAGCATATGTGTCATCAATTTATAATAATATCACTATTTGTGAACACGGTATTATGGATTACGGGAATGGTACTAATACTTATGAATCCAACACTAAATGTATCTGCTATTAGCCTTATAGTTGGATCTATTACCATGCAAGCATTTCTCGTACAAACATACAGCATATTATGGTGTGGGTTTACCTTGTGGTTCATGGTATCGTTGTATGTTAAATATAAATTCAATGAAATTAACTCAAAAATAGATACATGTATGAAATCTATGGATTCACATTATTATACACTTAACTTACTTATACTGGCTATTCGTGAGCATTCATGTTACGAAAAAATGACCAAGGATTTTAATTAATTTTTTAGATGTATAACATTTATCATGTATTACATAACAACACCAGGGTTTTTAATAGCGTTATACGGGTCCCATCACAGGGACACCAATTTAATCACAAGAATATTCTTTGCGTTTATTGTCATTATATGCTTTTCTGCCACAATTTGTATGAATATAATGAGCACCTGGATCACAAATGCTGCCCATAAATCTTTGCCTATACTTTATGGCTATCAGAGAAAACATCCTAAAATTCCCGTCAAATATAAACTCAAAATAAATGCAATTATTGAGCGACTGTCCGGACCTCCAATTGGTTTCTATTGCTATGACTTGTTTCCTATGAATAACTGGAAATTCTTTCAATTTGTATATGTATCCGGGTTAAATTACGTACGCATTATGAAATTTTTTTAATTATTTAAAAATGTATAATTATTGACATCTATGCCTACGATTGCCAATTTGGTCTATAAGTGCTAACTAGTGTTGAGACACTTTGACTAATCAATGCATTACTCACAACACTAATTGTTTTAAATTATAAACTTTAGATTTTTTTTCTATTATTATTGAAAAATTAAAAACAAGTGTTGTGAGTAATCAATTATCTATAACTACTCAAAGTGTCTCAACACTAGTAGCCCTTTTACTAGTTTAGCTTGGCACTCGTAGGTCTACGACTTGTCTTAAAGATTGAAATTATTATTATAATTATTTTATTGAAAATATAAATTGCAAAATAATCTTATTTTATGATTTACTATTTACTGAAAATCATACTTTAAGTCATTTATCTAGTTAGACATTAAGATAATATTATTTTTCAAATAATCGCATGCAAAATATCCATTAAATTATAAATTATATAGCAGAAGTGTCCATGGGTATTATTACAGTACTTGTAATCATTTTATTAAAAACTACACACAAATATCATTTTTAACATTATCACATTATCACACAAAATTTTTAAAATCCACAAATTAGTGTTTTATAATATTAGGAAACTTATTTACTATTTATAACACTAGTATTTAATGAATTAAAAGTGACTAAGATATTTTGTTGGAAACATAATTTTCATTTTGATTAATAGTATGATTATTTATTAGACATAAAAACAATCTTCATATGATTAATATATTAAGAAATTTTTAAACTTACAATAAATATATATATATATTGTATACCACTGTTCCTGAACTGTAAAAGATTAAGCTTGTAAGATTTGTCGTAGTCTCGGTCTCCGGGAGTAGCACTGGTAGTAATTAGTGTATATCATAACTACATTTTATAAAAATAGTAATTAAGTTCAATACTAATACTTTGTAAGAGTGTATGAGTACAATCGGAACATATTAAAACTTATTATATACTTATTATACACTATCCTTTGGGGAATGAAATTGGCAGTAAATCTAAAGGTAATTTATAAATTGAATTTAAGTTTAATTGTGAAATCTAATAATTTTATTTGAAATGTGTGTTCATAATGATTAAAATGGTGTGGCCATTTTATTTTTATCATTTGTGGTACCGAAGTAATCCACATCTAAAGAGGTAGTTTCCAGAACATGCTTTGGCAACAATTTTCGGGAAATCATCTACTAATTTCTTTAAATTGAATAGTTATTTTAATTATTTCTGACAATTATGTGTGTTTTAATATGAATCTAGGTTCACGAACACAAATTAACCAGATTCACGCCCTGAAACCAGAATATAACCAATTTTATCGGATATGTCAGTTAACCATAAGTGTATCGCAAGCTATGAACAGCTTATTATCCCATAGAGATTCTTAAAAATGCCAAACAAAATTCCCGAGTTTATCACTTTAGATGTGGATTACTTCGGTACCACAAATGATAAAAATAAAATGGCCACACCATTTTGATCATTATGAACACATATTTCAAATAAATTTATTAGATTTCACAATTAGACTTAAATTCAATTTATAAATTACGTTTAGATTTACTGCCAATTTCATTCCCCAAAAGTTACCAAAGTATACACACTGCAGTACATTATATATCGCTTATTTTACTGAACATTGAGTGCTTTAAAAAGATTACTGTATTTTTAATACAGAATATTCCTAAACAAAAATTTTAAATTTTGTACCAGAATTCGAAATAATAAAATTTTTGAATTAATAAAGAAAAAAATGATTCAAATTTTGAATTACAAAGAATTTTAAAATAAATTCATAAAATATTTTATAGAAAAATACAAAAACCACTGCAAAAAACATACATAAAAGTGAAAACATTAATTTTTTTCCATTGGTTTGGATATGTTTAAAAAGAGTGATGGGTTGGGACGGCATGAGAGATATATTTATTTATTAGATTAACAAAAATGGATGTATTGACGGGATTTCATAGCGATCTCAGGATTGCAGTGCCAATCGGCGGTCAGGGTTTGAGAGCACTGTTACTATTATTGCAATTTATGTAAAATACCGAATAAATATTTATGGCATCAAAGTCTCATCGTTTTTGTACTGAAAGTTTAACGAAAGATGTATTCATAAAATAGATTTATATTTTCATAAAATACAAGTTTATATTCTATAAATGAATTAAATCGAGTACACTATACACTATACACTAACACTAACACTAACACTAACGCTGAAAAGTAGGGAAAGAACAATGCATTAGTCGGGGGTAACCAGTGCTCACTGAGATGACAGTCACGCCAACAAACATTAAATTAAAAACTTGCAAAAATTATTTTTAAATATAAATTAATTTTTTAGTGAATTGTGTGAATATAATGAGAATGAATTGTTTTGTGGATGCAATTGATGTGTTGGTGTTGTCTCCCTTGACTGCGTTGGTGGTGGTGATGGCTGTATAGTAGAGGAGAGTGGATGATAATAATGACAAAGATTGCAATTGAATGAATGCATGGCAGATGAAAAGATGTCCTGTTCTACCATAGGATCGATATTAATGGATATAACACTAGGAGTGCGCAAAACTATGAACACATAGTGTTTGCAGTAATGCCTGATAGCGGAGATGTACTCCACTCTACTCCACATCTAAATCATTACACAGTTGTATAGCATTGCGATAGCAGTGAAGTTCAGCTCGAATTTTGTCTGCAATTAATCTTTGGTTTTGTTTGAATTCGTAATTATTTTTCTTTTTCAGTGCATTTCTTGTGTTTTATTTAATGACACAGATATGAGAAGCGATGAGAGAAAACTTTTTCCTTGCCTTTCGTTTGTTTCCATCTAATGATTGATGCATTTTTGTGACAAAGAGTAGTTTTGTCTCAAACTATCCTAACATTAAATTTCTTACTGCTTTTGCGGATAAAATATTTGCCAAAACTTTTCGTAACTGTAGACGACATTCATTTATGTTTTTGATTGATTAACCATTTTTTGTCACTTAGAAAAATCATTATTTGATATTATATTATGAAATGCGAGTTGCTTTTAATAAGTTTGTGTGCAATTCGTGAATGACCTCAGAATGGACTTCTGGGCCAATTTGTCGATCGTATCGTTTTATTTGTTTGCTGTAATAATCAGCGTTTTTCTACTCTTATTAACTCTGCTTTATGCGAGCGAACAGTTCCGCAAATTATGGTTTTCGTGGTTTTACACCATATTTTGCACTTCAGTTATCAAACGCGGAGGGAATGCCATCAGAGCTAAACTCTTTGAAAAACTATCACGTTTTGAATCATCTGATTGTTCACAAGAATTGGTAATAAAACTGTTTATGTATTAATAATTTCTTATTTGTTTATTTATTTTGTAAATGTATTTCAAATAATTTATTATAAGAAGTTTTTTGAAAAGATTTTCATTTTATATCAAATTATGGCATTAATATTATTATTATTATTATTATTCTTTTGAAGGATTCTTAGCATGTATTCAGAGTTTGATATCTCATGAATGAAAACATTTGCTGTTTGAGGCAAAACATAAAAGAATCCGTTTTGAGGCTTAAACTAGAGGGTCGACTCATTCCCATACACTCCATGTGATGGACATATAAAAGGGAAACAAGAATCCCGAATAAATGTTCTTTGTCCATTTTATGTAGTACTCACAATGTATTTTAAATGACGTGATTTGAACATCAAATATGATTTGATAAAATATAGACAATAAATCAAGAAATTTTATTTGTTTATTAAAAAATACTGTACTGAACATAACATACATTAGAGTAGATTATTCTTAAGGGGGATTGCCTAATAAAACGGGATTGAGTCGGGGGAAATTGCTATATTGTAACTCTAGCGTAAACTACTAAACTTCCAAAACACAAAAGTCTTATTAAATGGAGTATAAAGTAACGCTGGAATGCGAATCACATTTTACTAAAGCTTTTATCATTTATTACTATACATATTCAATTTATAATTAGCCATAAAAATCAATAATGTATACTGTATTCAGACATTAATAAAACCTATAAGGTTAACCAATAATTGAAAAATTTATGTTATTTTATTTTAATATAGAGTTATAAAAACATAATTTTATTTAAATCGTGAATATTCTGCACTTAAATAAACTTTATTTTGATCAGAAATTATTAAAATTTTTGAATCCCATTGGAATTGACAAATTTAAATATAAACATATAGTATAAAATATCGTCATAAAAATATTTATTGATTAACTAAAATTCACGATTTATACTTTGTTGAAAACAAATTATTATACATGTATAAATATTTCCCTACATTTTGATTATGTTTTATCATAATAATAGAATGTTATCTTGGTTAATTTAGTCCTTTGTGATTTTGTCTATTTGCTAACAATACAATTTATTGAATTTATTGGTAGGCTTTGATTATAATTAATTATACAAACAGTGTCTGATAGGAAAGCATTGAATAATTAGTTGTGCTTTCAGTGAGCCATTGATTATTTCCTATACTTCCTATACTTCCTTAACATTCCTTCAGTGCTTAAAACGAGTGATCAATTTCTCAAAGTTTTCTATTCTTTAACTTATTATTTAAAATATCAAAGAAACGAAAAGATAGTAATTAATTTAATTCTGTTCGTAACTTAGGTATTCGGATATATAATATTTATGTCATATAAGTGAATAATAACATAATTTATTTGAAGTAAATATAACTTTAGAAATTTTATGACAAATCCGATTAGTTTTGCCAACTCCTGTCATAAAATTCCCTTTTATGAAATAAACTGATTTTTTTGAAAATGTAGTTTTGGTCAAAAGGTTTTGACAAAATGGTCATTAAATTAGGTTCATTGAGCGAGCGAGCGAGTGAGTGAGTGAGTGAGTGAGTGTGTGTGTGTGTGTGTGAGAGAGAGAGAGAGAGAGAGAGAGACTAAAGAATTACTGGAAGCATTACAGTATAGAGATTATATTTAATTGGCAACCATTCAGTCATTTAGTAATCCATTCTCATATTTATTCTAATTATTAGGGTTAAAACCTTTTAATAGTATTGCATATTTGCTTCTCTCTCTAAAATCCATATTAATAATCTGTAGTAATCTGTACTAGTACTGTATAAACTCAACATACTGTATAATTAATAATTATTAATAATAAAGAACATACTGTATTTTGTGAAATTCAGAAATACTTTTTAAAGTATTTTTCAAATTTGAGATATTTCTCAAAATAACATTTATTATTATTTGATTTATATATAATTATTGGTTATTATATTGCTTTTCCTAAATTCTCGTCAAATCACTCATAAATGTTTTTTATACAAAAAAATCAATTCTCTACTTATATTTATATCCTAACTTAAGACACTTAAATATAGAGATTTTTCAAAGTTGATGTTTAATCATTGATGAGATTCACTTTGGCTATTGGTTTAGGTAATCCTGGAGATAGGGCCGGCCCGGGGCAACAACTTTGAATTCTATCCCTCCAACTGTCGCATTATAGCCCTCGACTATAACAGCTATTTCGAGAAATATTTTCGTCAAAACAAATCCAAATTTCCAAACATCTTATGCGAGGACTTTGTGAACGGAATGGCAGAAGATATGCGACAAATAGAAGATAATTCTGTGGACGTAGTGGTGGCCACATATGTCTTGTGTAGTGTTAAGGATCGCAATAAAACATTGAGAGAAATACGAAGAGTCCTCAAAAAAGTAAGTCATTCACAAGATTTCAATCACAAATTCAGTGCACACTCTGTATAGAGAATAATGAAGTTTACAAATACAGAATCCTTAAGAATTATGTGTTTTAATACTTTATACTTTCAATACTTACAGAATCCTTATTTAAACACAAAAAACTATTTATAAAGTAATTTGATTCATCTAATAGATATTTTTTATTGTCAGCGTTTTATTTTTTGCCGAACCCTTAAAAAATGAATTCTCAATGAATTTTTGCGTAATTTTTAGTTCATATCAAAAGCAGAATTGTATTATCAATATGTGAAATGAGAAAACTATTATTTTCATAAATTATTGAATGGCTGCTATTATACGAATGTTGGCAATAATCTGATGATATTATGAGTTATGTGAGTAATAACTGAATTATGTTGGTCCTGACAGGGAGGCACGATAATGAAATACCTCGTGCAACCAATGGGGGTATGGTCGCGGTTTGTATATCACGACAAACATTACGTTAATGATGACGTCGGTAAGACCATGCGTAAGGACCCACCGACAGTGACAGTGGCCGTCACCTGGTCTCATATAGAAAGGGCCGGATTTCATACACTTCATCTCAATTATGAATATCCTAATGAAATGGTCTTTATAGCCAGAGCCCACATCTGGGGAACGGCTACTACTCATGAAACAGACGAATTTATGAATAAGGATTAATACCAATACCTATTAGTGATACTTAGGAATAAAATAATGTGTTGTTCTAGCAAGGATGTTTTAATATATTGATATAATGTTTGGATTAGACAGAAATTAGAATTTCAATTATTTATTATTTTCTATGACTTTTGAATAAAGATTTTAATTTATAGATTTTAGATGTCATTGCTGAAACTTAATCTTAATTTTATCAATATTGCAGTCATTAGTGCAAACACCTTAAATGATAAATGTAATATTATTCAAAATAGCTTATATAAATTAATTTTTATAGTTTTCAAATTATCTAAAAGTCAAGTCTAATGATAGGTTTTTGACATTCCTATAAACATAAATTGGTTAAAAATTTTTATTAAACTATTTTTACATATAACATGAATTTTAAGTTTATAGTTAACACACTTGTATATTTTAGGTTCATTGCTAAAAAGTAATAAGTACTCTAATACATTTATAAATCGATAGTATTACAAAATATAAAAATAAAATCATTAATCAATTCTTTTGTTAAATAATTATTTGATAATTCCAGTGAACTTTTTGTGCGATAATAACACTTCTTATAAGAAATCCCAATTGTGTAGCTTGTTTGCAAAAATTAATTAAAAATACAGTATGTGGATAAATTTATATTTAAATAGTGTCTACAACTTTGTATGGCTAGAGCTACGGCTTTCTAATCATTAACTGTGTTTAGACGACACCAATTTGACTCAATTAACTGGTCCATTGTTGTTTTTAATCAAAATTTTGACTCAGAATGGTTTAACTTAATAAAATATAATAATGAATAATAATATAATAAATATAATAATAAATATATAATAATAAATATAAATGAAAATATAACAAAATAAAATAATATTTTGTATGTTTTGTGGAATAATTCATAGATATGAATATAAGTTAAAGTACTCTTAGAGAAAAAGGTTAAAATTTGAGTTTTGTCTTAACATAAAAATAAACTCTCGGTTGATATTATGTCATGAAAACATTCGTATCGAAACTTTCCAAACTTTGTGAATAACATATGACAAATGTTGGACTCGACACAGCATCACACGAATGATTGCTTTGAAAACAATTGTATTTGTATTTCAATAAAAGCAATCAAAACATTAGAATCGCTGAACATAAAGGTTTGAAACACTTAAACATATGACAAATGTTGGACTCGACACAGCATCACACGAATGATTGCTTTGAAAACAATTGTATTTGTATTTCAATAAAAGCAATCAAAACATTAGAATCGCTGAACACTTTGCTCTAAATATTGTTTTTAGGATAACAATATAAATCGATTGAAAATCACAGTATTTTATCGATTATTAAATTTAATTAAAATCCAAAAAACAACTATTGATGGAATCCTTCACACTATCCACCAATTAATCAAATTATAAATTGGAAAGTACTTTAGCCATAATATAGGAACTGATTGGAAAATTTAAAAACAATTTTTATTTATAATATTTTCAACTAATTCTGTAGTCTTCAAAATGACAAAAGCTTTATATTAAAAATATTGTGATTTTAACGTACCGGTGCTGTCCTTTTAGTACTCTAGTCTAACTTAGAGCACACAGAATGTGATTAATACTCGACATGTAGTTACAGTATGAAGAATTCCTATAGATTACAGTACCGTATGCTATAGTAACAAATTCTGTATACGAGAATTGTACTCTCCGAAAGCCACACAATATTTCATTTCTATTTTGTTTTACTGTCAGATTATAAACAAAATTTACTACCATGTTAAAACATTATTGCACAACTTTAAAAATTCTTGAATCAGCGTTATATTGTTTAATGGATAACAAAAATATTTATACAGTTTACTAGAATATTTTATTATCAACATCAGATAAAAATATTGTATGTTACATTTTTACTGGTATAAATAAATATTGTATAAAATGTATTGAATATTTTATAATTCTAAACTATTAAATTTAAATTAATGGCTCAAGAATATAATACCTTTATTCAGAAACTATAAATTATCACAGTTCTTATTATCTCATAGCTTCATCATGTCTACAAAAGTCATCTACAATACTATTGCCACTATAACATCATTAATTTAACTTATGTACCAACTTATCAAGTTCATTTATATCTTATTCAAATTGCTAGAGTATTCGAAAATCGCTTAGAATATGTGTCCATCATATTTGAAAAGTGTGTTATCAATCATTGAGATTATTATTGAATCAAATATTCAGTATAGAAAGCATTTCTAATAAAACGCTTGAAATGCAAACAAATAATCACTAAATCCAATCTCATTGCTATAATCACTAAACAATTGATGTCTATTTGTATGTATTTTCAAGCATAATATGAATTGAATTATAGCAGAAATAATGCGTTTAATGCAAACTCTATTTGATTACAACTCATAATAGAGTCAAGTGTTGGCACAGAAATGGCATTTCATTTATCAGACAAATTCTGTAAAAACAAATGAATTCTTTGAGCAATTTATATATCTCTATAGAGTCTATATAAACAGCAAATAAAGAAATTTTTGCAAACATTTCAAAACCACTGAGTATTCGCTGATTTCAAGAGGAAGTCCTCCATTTGAATATAAGAATCGCCAAAACTGTGTTAACACTACTATAGAGAGCGGAGATCACGAATCCAATCAATACTTTAAAGTAGAAAACATTGACTCCACGACTGATTATACACCGCAGAGACTCGATGGGGAGTGTCAGTGGAAGTGCTTTACTCAAGATCCTCAGCGGTCGAGGCATCGACTCTATAGGCCACGTAATGCCACATAAGAGTACCCCTGGAATGACTGTACCTAACAATCAAGAGTGGATTCAGTTAAAACAAAGTCAAAAGGAGTCTAATTGAAGGCATTACCAGACGTTAAGAGCATTGCAGAGATGGCATTGGGACAGATGGCCGATATAAGTAGGCCGAACGAGATGCCTACCACTCCCTGCAGGAATACCAACACCAACAGTGGCGTCACCGGTCCTCTGATGGGCACTCGGAACACAACAAACGTCACGAGCAATACGAGCAGCTCTTGGAGGACAAGGACTTTAAGTTGAGTTATGGAATGCGAGAGAAGGACTTCGAATCCCGAAGTGCCGGTCGATAGGCATCTCTCCAACAGACCATTCATTTGGTCTTTAATCAGGAGATAAGCCGTCAAAAGCATTGGCGATATAAACACAATGGACACTATATATCCCGGCGCCAAGAACTCCATGAATGTAGGACTCTCTGAGCCATATACCAAATGCTTGATGACTATTGGCGCAGAATATTTGGCCCAATATTTGTCACTAATTGTGGGCAAAAAGTCTTTTACACTTCTCATCAATGAATACATTAATTGCTGTCCAATCACTGCATTCGAGACATCGGTATAGAGTTTGACATTACTTTCGAGCATTTCTTGTGACTAAACGGCACACAAAACATAAAACATTTTTTGAACTATAGGTCAGAAAACTTACGGTTATATTTGCGATGCAATTATATCTCAAATCAATGAGTTGTGAAAAGTTTTGTGAGACGGCAATAGCCATCCAAACCTCTCCTTTGGTCACTGCCTTGACGGCTGAGTCAAGCGATGAGTATTTGATTTGTTTGATGAGATTATTGTCGAGAGATCTGAAGAGTTGACGACTTAAATGTCCAAAATGTTCGCCATTATATGTGGCCACAGGTAAGTGTCGCACCTGACGGCCAATCGATGAACAGAAGAACACCATTTGCAGCGACGGGAAGATGAAGAAGAATAACATTATCACTAGATTTCCGCGAATCACAAACAGGTTCTTCTTAATTGAAGCAAAAAAGCGTAAAAAATTAAAATTAATTAACGCGTCGTTAATGGCAGTCAGACGGCGCTCACAGAGAGGCCATTCAGCCATCGGTAAAGTCGTGCCCTCGAAGGCACTGGAGTTTGTGTTTGCATTCAAATGATTGAACTCATTGTCTATTTGGCATAACTTTAAGTACAACTTATCAAAAGTGTTTGCATTGAACCGAACAAACAGGGCTTGAGGTCTGTCCTCTGCAAGAAGTCTGCCGTTTCTTAAAAGACCTATAGTTTGATAAAATCAGTGTTTTTTAGTTGAATTTTGTAAAACCGGTAGACTTTCCACTATTTGTTATGTATTTGTTATTATATACGAGTTTAGAGACTGTTTTGTTTCCAGAGATTTCAATCGCTTTTGGTTTTGTAATTTCTATAATAACTAAAATCAACTAAACTATTATACCTATAGTATAGGCGCCTTCCGCCTCCTCCATGTAATGAGTAGTTATTAATACGGTTAGGCCTATGAGTGAAACAAAATGACAATCAGATGTGAATAATGTTTGGACACCAGATATGAGACCTTCTTCTCTGCAAAGACCGTTCAGATGATCCCAAATGGAGAGTCTGATGAGTGGATCGACATTAGCTGTGGGCTCATCCAGAAGCAGAAGTGGCGGCGAATGAATCAAAGAGACGGCCAGTGATATACGCCAGCGATGATTGTCTGTGAGGTCTCGGATCAGTTTGTTCTCATCGGGAAGATTGAAGAGTGAGATCAGGAAATTGACTCTTTGGTAGATGAGAGCCATCGGCACCTGATATAAGTAGCCGTAGTATTGAAGCGTCTCATCGATGGTCAGCTCTTCATAGAGAGCTATCTTTTGGGGCATAAATCCGACGCCAATTCCCGGCACAGCGTTTATGGCCGGGTTTGTGCCAAACACCCGAATGGAACCGCTTTGTGGTTTGAGTCTTCCTAGCAGACATTGGAGCAAAGTCGTTTTTCCGCAACCACTCGACCCTTTTAATTGCATTTCACTTGTTATCCATAAGTTTTTATTGGCATTTTTAATTTTCCTTTAATTTAGTTAATTACACAAATACGACACATTCAATATCCTCAAACCAATATTAATATATCGTGAGTTTTATATCAGTTACAGCAACTTCACAATTAATAATATTAAAATTTTTAATGAAAAATAAAACAAACCGTTTGTTGACCAATAAGATATTTGGATCAAAACTTGGCTCAAATCAAACAAAAGCTATAAAACTAAAAGCTTATCAGATTTGGTAAATTTGTAAATTCAATAAATCCCTTAAAAAGAGATTAAAAGTCATTATGTAACTTAATTTAATAACTAATAGACAAACATAAAAGCCATTTAGGGATTAGAGACAGGAATTAGTGAGGACTTACCTAAAAGGGCATAAATCCTGCCTTTAGGCACTTGAAGAGTGAGTTGATTGAGAACCAGTTCTTCTTCGTAAGCAAACGAGACATTATTGACATGAATGGCACACTTGTCCGGTGGGAACGAGTAGTCGTCGGCAGTCTTGGAGTCGAGTCTCTCGATGTTGTGGACGCGTCTGAAGAAGGGAGCGGTGCTTAAGGCATACCTGAGCGCATCCAAAGAGGCCAAACGACCGTCATCTGAGTCCGATTCCAAATCCGGTTCCCCTTTTTGGATGTGATAAGACATCACTTCTACTCATTTGTGGCATACGTTCAGTAATGGCTGTGAATCTGAATTCAGATAAAAGGAAAGCTGTTTACAAAAAATTAGTCTCAAATACAACAACATACTAATTAAAACTGGTTTTAAATAAATTTATTTCTCCAATAATTATATAGTGTTTACTTTTCCTATAAGACTATTGATAAGAATTGTCCAAAAAACTAGTTTTAACGCTAAAATACTAACATATTCATAGAAAAGCCGGTTATTTGCTAATTGTCTTAATTGGTATCACATTAAAAGTAGCGAAGTTAAGTTTATAAACTGTCTTTGACTGACTGTTCAGACATAGAAAACATAATATGAGATTATTAATCTCAGATTAATTAATATGTAAGTTTTATTCTATATAACACATGGACAGCAGGTCATAAAAAGTGTTTAGCGAATAAATTGAATTAATATACTGTACATCACTGAATGCATTCACACTCAAAATAGTTGACAATTTTAGTCTACAAATATTTTTCAATACAAATTCCGATATAAACGCAGATAAATCAGGTATTTTCCCGACTCTTACATTTGTAATACTTTCACATGTAATAAACGCTTTTGAAGTTTTTTGTTAAATAAAATTTTATGTATTTTTATATTTTATTGTATTAAAGATTGGAATTTTAGATATTCACAGAGTATTCAAAAATATGAATGCTTTCGATGTCTCTCTTATTTAGTTTATTTGACGACAAAATATTTCAAATATTCATATAATCATCAGAATTGTTAATTGAGTCAAATGAGGAATGCATTATAAATGTATTATAAATGTATTGATGTATGCATTGAACAGTGGGTCAGACGGCAAGTAGTTTGTGAAGAGATGTGGAACAGGAGTTCAATGTAACTGTCGGTCTCACAGCTCCTCTAAAAGTGTCGAGTTTTAGGCATTTATCCAATAATTATAGGCTTTTCTCACTTTTAGATTCAACACTTTCTATACTACCTTTCATATTATAATATTTGTACAACTTTTATAAAGTCTACCAAGATACTGGATTAGATTAAACATCTCATAGCCTCTAACTAGACTACTAAGTAGATAAGTATTATCAATGATTACCTGGCTACTTTTACTGTTTATAACTATAAGTTTACGCTTCAAATATCTTCAAGAATATTGATATTTGATATTTTATTTGATCCATTATGTCATTATTGTTTGGCTATACTTTTACTATTAATTGACATTACATAGTCACTACCATCCGTAACTATTGTTAACCAAACAATAATTGTGTCAATCAATGAGCAATTAATGAATTAAATTATGAATTACGGTTATAACTGGTATTCATACGTGAAGTTTGTAAAAATGCAATCTTACTGTGAATTTGTGGTGAAAATGATGACAATTAATAAAATATAACAAATCTATAAGAAATAAAGTGTCAATTAAAAAACATTTAACAAACAATTATTTGAGTAAATTTTATTTGATTTCATATTATTTACTTTACAGTTTTTGCGACATTTGTTACTAAAGGAGTATGTTATTCAGGATTGATCTGCACATAATTCGCATGTCAATTACGAAAGAACGTTTCAATTGTAATTCAGTTTATAAGCGTTTCATATTTACTCGCATTTGTCGGCAATATATGGAAAGTAAATGTAAACCAATGTATGTCTCAATACAATGACAGCTATTGAATGGTAAGCAATGATTGCAGTGATTGTGTGAATGGTGTGGAAGTTGTGTCTATTGATGGCAAACATGTGTCAAGTGGTGATCACTGGTGTGGATGTGACGGCAATATTGCACTCTTGAGCAGAGTTTGCAAACTCTGAGCAAACGTTCACTCAATCGATGACGACATCTGATGGCAAGACATAAGTTGTGATGAAATGCAAACAAATGAGACACTTATGGACGAAAAGAAGGACTCCAACGATGACAACAGTGTCACCGCACGGGATGTGTTGCCATGGAATCAGTACTTGAATGTCAAGAGAGAGAAACTGAGGAATCAGTTGATATGTGACTGGTTACCGGTCCGCCACCTGCTGGAGAACTCGCCGCAAACACAAGTGTAGTTACCACACTGTGTCGGAAGTCTTGACCTCGAGTTTCTTGACTAACAGGCGAGGCCTCCTTACATAAACTTAATATTGGATCCCAAGCGAACCACTCATATAATCGCCGCAATGGACCGGAAGCGATTCTGGTTCTTATACTTCTGATTATCTGGCCAGCAATTTCACCTCACCTAAGACCTGAGTTAACTTCGGTTAACAAACGTTGGGTAGCTGCTGATGGAAGAGCAGTTTTCTCTGACCACTCTTTGGAAACAATTAACCGATAGAAGAGCGCAGACAACCGATAATGAAGTGAAAGAAGTGGTGAAGACGACGGTCTGTGAGCCGGTCCTCGACGAAGACAATGACGCGAATGGTGTGAATGGAAGCGATTATATGCCGAACTCGATGTCGCAAATCGATCGACAATTTCTGGACGCTTTGCCCATCAGTTTAAGAGAAGAGATTTTGGCGGACATTGAGTTCAACTCAAACGCAAACAAACGAAGGCTTAGAAGTGATGAGACTTTGGTTGGTTTCTTCAGTAAGTAACTATTATTGCCGGTGCTTTCGCTGCTTTGACACTGAAGATAACTTCTAGAAGACCTTGACTACAAACTACTCGTGTTGCCTCCCGAGTACAGAACACGATTCATTTGCGGTAAAACTAAAGCTCCAGAAGTGATGGAATTGATTGAGGAATGGATTTCCACTGAAGAGAATTTGATTGATGAGGACATCGCTTATGTGACCAAATATTTGTTGGATTTGATTGAAGAGAAAAATTTGCATCTTTTGCAAGAGATTTGTCTTCAACTTCACAGATGTGTCCAAACAAGAGATGACAGTATTTGATTGATGAGGACATCGCTTATGTGACCAAATATTTGTTGGATTTGATTGAAGAGAAAAATTTGCATCTTTTGCAAGAGATTTGTCTTCAACTTCACAGATGTGTCCAAACAAGAGATGACAGACTTTGGAAGAAATGTTTTAATGATATGAGAGATATAATTAGTGCCGAATTGAAAGCCATTGAATGCCACGATTTGGACGCAATCCTCAATCATTTACCCAATTTTCAATTGAATTGATTTCTATTTATTCATTATTCTCTTAGTTTTACATTTACTCTGAGGCTTATTCTTAAATTATATACATTTTATGAATTTTTTCATTCATTTTATATACAATTACTTTGATTTTATCCATTTATGAATCAAATAAATGAATTAAAACATTAGTTTTCGTTGAGTTTGTATTTTAAACAATTCTCTGATTGAAACCAATGACTCGTTTGAAGTGCGATCTCAACAAACAAGCGTTGATTCAAAAGAAAGTATGAATAAAAGTGTTGAAAAGATTTTTTTTTCATAAATATCTTATATTAACTAAGTAATCACATTAATTAGTAATCTGTCAGACAGTCTGTACATCTTCTATACGCTCGGAGACGCCGTCTCACAGACTCTGGAGATCCGCCAAAATCCAAACCAACGCTTCAATAGACGCCGTTTGCGTGAGTATTGCTTCTTATGGTCAGTGCTGTCATTCACGTGATTGCAGTTTCCATAGCAGTCGGCGGTATGTTTTACGGCACGTGTGGTCACTTCGTCTACAAGTATATCGACAGCAAGTACCCTGGTAGGTCCTTTCGCACCATCAGGAGTAAGTTGCTGATCGACGCCAGCACTTGTGCTCCGATCGCACTGTTGGGCACAAGTATTATGGGAACGGCTGAAGGCAAGAGTGTCCACCAAATTGAGGACAACACATAGACAATACATAGTCGTCGCCTCCTCTTCACTCATTTATACCTCTTATTTGTCATACTTTTTCATCGAGTATTCATTTCTCATACATTTCTCAACTATTCATTCATTTTTTGTTTTTGTCCACAGATTGACGACAAATCTAAGAATTCTTTTCCAAACGATTTAAAAACTTTATAGATTTTCATTATTTTCATCGAGTATTCATTTCTCATACATTTCTCAACTATTCATTCATTTTTTGTTTTTGTCCACAGATTGACGACAAATCTAAGAATTCTTTTCCAAACGATTTAAAAACTGTATAGATATTCATTGTTTTTCAATTTAATATTTGGTTTCATGTAAATAAATGACAACAGTTTGATATAAGTGTTAATAAGTGAGCTTCAATTAAATTGATTTATAAGAATTTCCAATGGCTTAATGTGATTACAAAATGTATTTTTATTTGTATAGAAAAACATCAATTTATTGTTCAAGTATTTGGTGCAATGCACTAAAGTAAGAATGCGGGGTCAGAGGGGTTATGATTAAGATTGATATACAGTATTGTTAACTGGATACAAATAAAATTTACATATCGTTCAAAATGAATTGAAATTATTTCCATAATATTCACACTACTATTAATTCTAATAAATAAATTCATTTTGTTGTGAAATTATTTCAAAAAACATAATAATATGAATGCTAACAATGTTAGCAATGTTAGCCTAACATCAATAGCCATTTACTAGACTTTTAACATTCAAATTGAGCGCAAAAGTGACTTTTGATTGCATAAGAAATGAATTGTGAAAAACACAAACTTTTTTCAAATTGTTGTTCTTCTGAATGATTTGTGCGGAAGAATGGATCAGTTGTGGACATTGAATGCAATGGCAAGTGTTTGACAGACATTTGTATTGAAGTGGTTTGAAATGCAAGGCTTTACAGACTTGGATGTAATGAAAGTCAATTGAATGTCAAAATTGCTTCATTAAAGACAAACATGTTTTCAAATGCAGTCAAGAGTTTGTTTAAAAGACTTTATTCACCCAAATATCTGGTGATCACAAACTCGATGACTGGTGTGGTGTCGGTGGTGATCGGCGACACTATTCAACAGTTCCTTGAATACAAATTTCATAAGAAATGGTCACAAAGTAGTGAACAAAAAGAGTTTCAATTCAATGGACGCAGAAATTGTTGGTATTTTCGGATTCATGTGTTTGAATGAAAACTAATTATTTCCTAATTATCAGTGAATATGTCATTCGCTGGCATTTATTTCGGCATTTTTGGTCACTTTTGGTACGGATTCCTGGACCGCAGATTCCCCGGCTCTCAGAGGAGGGCAGTGCTCAAGAAGTTGGCCGCAGAGATGGCAATGGGTCCGCCACTCGTCTCCGGACTCTTTCTCATAGTGTCTAAACTCAAAGCCATGTCTTTCGAGAACTCTTGGAACGACTTAAAGACAAACTTTGTGCTCATTTGTACCGTAAGTGTCTCTTAATTGTCTCTTAATTGTCTCGCGTGTGGATTGATAGCAATTTGTGCATCAGGTCGAGTGGTTGGTCTATATTCCCCTCCAATACCTCAACTTTCGTTACCTTCCGAAGCAATTTCGGTACTTATATGTGGCGATCATATCCCTGGCCTACGACGCCTTCCTCTCATACGTTATTCACAAGGTTTGCCTTTTGGTGTCCACTTCTGATCACTTATTCTGCAATTCTTTGACAGAACGACAGATTGAGGCGATTGAAGGATGCAAAAGAGGAAGAGTTATAATTCCTTAGGTTTTAATGAAAATAGATTTAAAATATTTGTCGTTACAATAGCTGCGATATTATGGATAAAATGAACACAAAATATATAAAATACATTTGAATTGATTTCAAATATGAAAACATCTCTAATTACAAATGAATGATTGAATTTGAATGGAATATGTTTTGATGATAAGACTTATAGACGCTATAAAATCATATTTAAACCGGTATTCAATGATTACAGAATTAAATATTCACTGTTTTGTACCGTTTCTGACAATTATTTGGCTTTGAATTACATTTATGTCAACTCATCAGAGTTATCATTCTCTAAATATTAGTATCTTTTCTAACATTGGAAGCGAACGAGCGATCACTCCATCCCTGGCCGCCCAGTGCTCGCGATTGTGGCGAAGTCAGGCCTTGGAGTGGACGCTATTGAAGTGTTTGCGCATATTTCCCTTCTCGACGAACCGCTTCTCGCAGCCGACAAACGGACATTTGTGTGGTTTGTCTCCCCTATGGATCATCAAATGTAACTGCAATTTGTCGTTCCGCAGGAATCGCGACTCACAGCCTGTCGACCAATGAGACAATCATTCAATCATCCAAACAACTGCCTCCCGCACATACATACCGGGCCAACTGCACCGGTACTTCTTCTCGCCGGTGTGCAGAATCTTGTGAACGGCCAGATCGTGATATCTCGACGCCCGGAACTGACATCCGCTCCAATCGCCTGTAAAGCCGATAACGAGAATGAGTTGCGGACTTGAGAGTAGTAAAGCGATTTTGAGGTTTTTACAATCAATTTCGTGTGACACGAAATTGATTGTAAAAACCCCAAAATCGCTTTGGCGGCATGCACAAAGTACGTACGCAAAATTTTGTTTAAAAATTGACCCCCCTCCCCCTACCAGTGCGTATGTACTTTGTGCACGCCGCCTTTACTACTCGAGACAAAAGAGACAGACATTTGAACACTTTGTCGCCCGTATGTAAGGCCTTATGAACGGTGAGCGCCCGGTTCCGCTTGAAGGCGCCGTCACAGCCGGGCCAATCACACTTGAATGGACGCACATTCGAGTGAGACTTCTTGTGGTAACGAAGACCGTCGGCAGTCGTGAACCGAGAGTCGCATCCGGGCCACGAACACACGAACGGCTTCTCCCCGGTGTGGTTACGCACGTGATTCTCGAGCTGCTGTTTCGTCAGACCCTTGTATCCACAGCCCGGCCACGAGCACCTGTACGACAGAC